TTATTTGAATATTTCGAGTTTGTCCAAACTATCATCAAAATATCAACTTTTCATGAATTGAGAGTACTGATGTACTTAATTTCAATTAAGGCTATGTTTTGGACCATATTTAGCACAATTTATTTTTTATCTCGAAAACAGATAGAGATAGGTATAGGACATTATTGACAAAAAAGTATTAAAATACTAGAGCAATTTCAAAAATGTATTAATATACGAGGTGTTCCATTTAAAAAAATATAATTGCTAGGACTTTTTGATAGAAGTGGCAACGCCGCAATGCTGAAAATATATTAGATCGATAGATCAGGTGAGGAAATGTGAGAGGTGAAATTTTCAGAAAAATTATGCTTTGCGTTTTCCAGAAACGTCTAACCTACCATCGATCGTGAGTCACGCTGTATATGAACAGTTTTCATAGTGTTTTTTACTTTTTCTGGAAGTTTTCCAAATTTTTTGTTCAACAATGTCCTTACTGAAATACTGAAAAATTGAAAAATGAATATAATAGTCCATACAGATCACTGCCCCATATGAATCCTTCGAAAATTATTCTAATTTCCATTGCAGATGATGTATTATACCAGTTTTTGAAACAAATATATTTTTTTTATCCCGTGAAGGTTGTATATTGAATATTTGTGGTTTTTACGCCTCAATACAAAGTGATTTTTGTTCTATAACCGATTATGGCTTGAGCTCCTGGATCCGCATTGAAATTCGATTTGTACTTCTGTAATTAGGGGATTTTTCTCGTAATCGATATCAACTTTTCGCACGCCTCAAGCATTACATTCCAGAAAATTTTTGTTGGTGCTGAAGCTACATTTTTTGTCGTAAATGTGGGATATCCATTCAATTTGAAAACTATCAACTTTGAATAACCATACAGTATTCGTAGCAAAATGGCGACTGATTTCGTGCTGTAGATCTTCCTCAAAAAATTTTCACTATTTACTGCGTAAGCAACGTTACATATCGCACATTGGAGAAATAATATAGACAGCAATCTATACATTATTCTTTCAAATAAATCCAAATAACTGGCAATGAGGAATATTTGACAAACGAAATATAATAGTCGTCCACTCATTAATTATATGCAGTTGGAACTAGCATATATGTGTATAGGAAGAGAGAGCAGCAGTTTTCGCAATTTTTTAACAAGAAAATGATTTACTGCTCAGACATTCCAGGTCTCATCAAAGAGTTTGGTGTTGAATACAAAAAAGAAGACTGGAGGTTGTTTATTGAATCTTCCAAAACTAGTTTAAAAGCTTATTACACAATAGTAACACTCATTTATGTATCTTTACCTGTTGGCCATTCTATACATATGAAAGAGACCGATGAAAACCTATAGTGTTGAATAAAATTGGCTATTCGGCTCATGGTTGGATGATATGTGGTGACTTGAAAGTAACCATGCATGCTTCTTGTTCAGCAAGGCGGTTTTACCTAATTTCCATGTTTTTTGTGTGAATGGGACAGTAGAGCAAGGGATCAACATTAATGTAGAAAGAACTGGCCTGTGAAGGAGTCTTTAAAACCCGGCGATAAGAACAATCTCCGCAAAAACCTTGTAGATCCTAGAAACAATCTCTTACCACCTCTACATATAAAGTTAGGCCTCATGAAACAGCTTGTTAAGGCATTGCCTGAAGATGGACCTTGTTTCAAGTATCTCTGTCAGAAATTTCCAAACCTTTCAGAGGCTGAACTTAAAGAAGGCGTCTTTGTAGGACCCGACATTCGAAAAATGATGTTCGGCGTAAACTTTGAAACCATAATAACCATACATGAGAAAGAAGCATAGGTATCATTCAAACAAGTTATTACAAAATTCTAAAGAAATGCAAAAGACCCAGAATATCGTACCAGTGTAGCTAAAATGTTAAAGAATTTTAAGAAACTAGGATGTTTGATGAGCCTGAAAGTCCACTTCTTGAAAAGTCATCTTGATTACTTCCCGAAAAATTTGGGAGATGTTAGTAAGGAGCAGGGTGAGCGTTTTCACCAAGATACTGAATTGATGGAAAATCGTTACCAGGGCCGCTGGAACATCAATATGATGGAAGACTACTGTTGCTCACTTCACCGTGAAACTCAACAAGCGACTCATCGCAGGAAAAGTTACACAAGAAACTTCAAAGAGAAAAGAAAAAGGAAGTATAAACCAATTCCATCTGACTAGTGAAACCTACATTACGAAACTGTGTCATTATTTCAAGTAAATACCATGATAGTGATTTAACATAGTGTTTCATTAATTTTACAATATACTGTACAGATTTTAAATTATATCAAAAATTTTATTTCTCAAAAACTATGAGTGATACAAAACTAAGACCAGATTTGGATTCGGCACAAAAAAATCTATAAAAGTCAGCTATTAAAGTAAAAAAAGTTTCCAAAAGTTTCTTTGTTGGCCTGTGTTATCCTTCCTCTTTGAAACTCTTTGGTTTTTTTTTGCAAGACCATTTGATCTCGAATTCTATAGCTACTCACCTTGAATGGCATCTGTTCAACTAACATCCACATATTTGTGTGGCATTCTCCACTCTGGTATATTCAAAAAATAAATATAGAAATACGCTTTGTGAGGAAAGTGAATTGCGTTTAAAGCTTTCAACTTTCAACCCAGATATAGAATCTCTTGTAAATTGTAAGCACCAGCTCCACAAGTCACATTAATTACATCTAGCTCTCATTTTTTGTATTTGTTTAGTTTTGAAACTCTGAATCAAAAGTTTGTTTTCGTACTGTACTTTTTCTTCAATTATATCATCTTTATCATTTCCTTTTGGATGTGTATTCCTCAATAGTGAATTTTCACGATAATAATAATAAAAATATTGGTCCCAAATCATCCGTTCCACGGTTGTACTTCCTCCGACAACAGGGAGGCTTTTGAGTTTGGAGTGTCTACATGACAGAATGTTACTGAATATCGCCTGTAAAGTCGTCAGGAGTTCGTGCATGGTCCGTGAACATGAGAGAGTAGGAATTGGAATATTTCTCTTCAGGGCAGCTGCCCGAGCAGCTGATAAACTCGGTTTAGTTTTCGACACTGAACGAGGTGACCACCGAGTTGGAACCCGTTCAGCAAAAAGCTCATAGAAAAGCCGAAGAGATCACCTTACTTCTGCGGGAGCAAAAGGATAAACCAATGCATGGGGTCTTCTTCAATAACATTGGAGACTTGGCTTATCAAACTGGCTGACTTTCGCTTTCCTTAGGTCGAGTGGGCTGAAGTCGGAAACTGAGGGATTCATCATGGCTTGCCAGGATGGTGTCTTCAACACTTTAGTCTACCGCAGTCACGTGATGGGTATAGAGGTTCCTGACACAAGGTTCAGGGCCTGCCGCGAGGCGCCCGAGACCCTTATGCACTTGCTATCAGCATGTCCAGCATATGCGGTCTCGGCCTATATCCATCGACATAACGCGGTCCTAAGAGTGCTATATTACCATCTACAGCACCCTTACGTTATTGACGAGACACCGGTGTTGCTCTACGCTCCGTTGTGGTAAACGAGAAGTGCCGAATTTATTTGAATTATTCGTTCCCCACCCTCAAGCTCATACAAGTTAATATCACCTTCAATTATGTCTGAAGATTCTTTTTTTTTCAGCAATGTTATCCAGATACTCCAGCTTAAAAAATCGTAAAATGGAGACTACCTTCAAATGGATTTTAGATATTGTAGCCATACTATCCCAAGCAACTGCCTTTGTTGTATGGCCTTCTGTGGAAAACAAAACGAGTCTTTACATTCTCATACCAGTATCCCTCATTCTAATATCTATTGGATGGTGGGAGAATTTCATTTCAGACAACTCTGAAATCGATTTTCTGAACAATTTGGGAAAGAACAAAAAGGAATTCCAAAATTCCACCTACTTCTCGTATTGCATAATAGCGCCAATGAAATGCCTCATTTTTTTCTGCGCCGCTTTGTTTATATTATGGTCCAGACAAGGAGGTGTTGATCTTCTGTTCAATGACTTCAACGATATATTCAGCACACACTACTTGAATGTATCTGAGGTAAGACTCCAAAAGCTCCATTCAAGAGTGAATTGATGAGGAATCTCAGTATTATTATTATTAATTACGAATCTAAAGAAATCTGGTCAATTGTGATGAGTTTCATTAGATCGAACTTCCATTGTCTGATATTATATAAAATGACTTGAAATCTCTGGAAGACCTAATAAAGTAGAAGAATTGAAAAAGAGAAAAGCTGAAAATAGAAATTATATTAAGCGAAAAAACTCCCCGTAATACAACCATTACAAGGAAAAACATCAACTTTTGTGAAGAATTCAAGGCATTTTGTCGAACTACTAGGGGCAATCGAAGTCACACAGCAAGATCAACTAATTAGTTTTGATGTGGAAAGCCTTTAGACCAACTTTCCGGCCGAAGAAGCACTTCAAATCATACAGAGGAAGCTATAGGTACGAAGACGGGGACCTGGAAGATAGAACAAATTTACATATATAATGGAATCACTAGGATGATGTGTACGAAACTGTTATTTCCAACTGAAGAATGAATTCTTTACACAAGATGAGAGACTGCCAATGGGATCGCCACTTTCACCAGTCATTGGCAACATATGTATGGAGTGATTTGAAACTCTGGCCATTGAAGAAGCCCACGAGAAACCACGAGTCTGGTGGAGATATGTTGACGACACCTTCATAATATGGAACCATGGGAATACTGAACTAGACGCCTTCCTGAAACACATCAACAGCGTAATACTTTCCATTACTTTCACAATGGAGAAGGAAATCCACAACGAATTGTCATTCTTAAACGTATTGGTGAAGAGGACCGATACTAAGTGGGAAACATCTGTATACCAAAAATTCATTGACACGGGACAGTATCTGAATCACGAATCAATCGACTAGAAGAGGAATCATCAGGACTCTATTAGACCGTGTTTTCGGGCTCTGTAATATTAAGGAAGATCTCGAGAAGGAACTAGACATCATCAAAAATTATCTTTAACGGAATGGCTACTCCAAAGCGATGGTGGAACAGACTTTGGCTAAAAGACAGCAGGAGCCTCGCAAGGAAGAGAAGCCGTCACAACCAGTTCTTGCACTTCCCTACATCAGAGGATTATCGGAAAGGATAAGAAGAATTGGGTCCGAGTACAATCTCAGAACCTGCTTCAGATCCGGAAACACTATCCGTAGCAGCCTCACGAAAATCAGGCCCCCAAATACGACCTGCGATTCCAAGAATTGCCTTTACCAGATACCCTGTGAGTGTGGAAAATCCTATACAGGTGAAACTAAGAGGCCATTGAAAGTTCGCATTGCCGAGCACAAGAAACACACACAGCAAGAAGAAATTAGGAAATCAGAAATAGCATCAACATAACATCAAGTGGGCTCAAGCTGAAATCATCCACAAGAAGGAACACTGTTTTAGGAGAAAATTCAAAGAAGCCGCATACATGTTGTCCAACAATATATTCAGTCAAGCTAGCGTAGAGATACGCAACATATGGAAACCTCTGATCAAGCGGAACATAACCAACTCCCACCAAATGGTCATTTTCCGCTAAAACAGGAGGAAGAGGTATAGGTGAAATCACTCGAATGACCTATAAATAGTCAGATCTCGGAGGAATTAGTCCAGTCATCACCCGAAGACGATTGTAGATACTAACAATCGAAACGTCGTGAAGAAACTTGGCTTGGAATCTCCCAATTTTTTATTTTTATTTTTTGTTGAATTGTTCAATTTTTTACTTGCATTTTATCTCACTGTTATTTAATTTCAGGTTTTTTTGCTTATTATAATTGTTACTTTTCAGCTATTCTCTTTTTTAATTTTTCTTTTTTATTAGGTCTTTCAGGGATTTCAAATCATTTTATTCAACAAACTGATCAATTGAAAATTAACTCAGAGGTAAGGAAAACTGTCAGTGAAAACTGACAAACAATTCTTTTTCCCTCGCCTGTCTTATGCTGTTCAGAACCGCCTGTCATTGTACACATTTATTTCAAAAGACTCACTTAAACACATACTTTTAATTTACAGAAGAAAGTTTATTTTACCTCCTAAACCTTTGGATTCACCTGGTAGGTACTTTTACTTACTGTAATCGCCTGTCAATTTTTTTCGACAATTATCAAGAAATAAACCGAATGATATTAAATTTTGAAACTTACAGAAGTAAGTTTTCTTATCTTATTTATTTGACATTTAAAAAAATGAAAGGGCTGATGACGTGCAGGGCAGATGCCTGCCAAGTCATGGGTATTGGCCTTGGCGTACTATGACTCATCACTGTACAAATTTCTAGCCTTACAGGAAGACTGTTAGTCGGTTCACTAGCTCTTGGACTAAAATCCATGTTGTTGCGGAGATATGATATTACGAACTGAGGAATGTACGCGATTGTAGATGACAATTTCGAGAAGTTCTGCAAAGTTCAATAGGATTGAGATAGGACGATAATTCCGAATATCAGATGGATCTCCAGACTTAAAAATGGAACAAACTCGTGATATCTTCCAAAATTTAAAGGTGTTATATCAGGTAATTCAGCACTGGTTTGGATAATTTTAAAACCAGCTCGTCGTAATGAAGAGATATACTATATTGCTGAAACCTATCATAAGTTGAAAACAGGCAAACGTAATTCTTTGGAAAAGCCCATTAGATCACCCGATATGACGCCTCTGGATATTTTTGAGGAAATACGTAACATCTGAGGTGTACATTACACAACCGCAATCCATTCCAGAAATCATGGATACAAAATGAGGTGCTTGCAACAATATTACTCCAGGAATATTTTATAACATAGTAAAAAAAAGTGCACACAAACTACGTTTGCAGATTCTTAAAAGGGATATAAAATTGCTAATTACTCGGGAACAGCTAATTCGATTTCCAACAATGAAAAATTGTTGGATAAAGAATTAAAATACATATAATAATAGTTATTATAAAATTTATCATGCATAAAAATACATTTATACATGAAAGAAAAAGAGTTAGCCAATGGCTATCTTCCACCCCTCCCAAAAATTATTATACAGTGGGTGTAAGAAAATAATTTTGAAAATACTTATTTACAATCATGAGAATGATAGAGAAGAGAAAAAAATGAAAGATCATATAGTTGCTAATAACTCTTAATATGCTTAACATTATTTTGGTCAAATTAACAATTTCATTGCACTACCATATATTGAATTTTAACGAATGCGCAACGCAACGCAACGAATGCGTGGCCAATATATGAAACGAAACCGTACTAGGTTTCAACCATATACTTTTTTCCGTGTTTTTACCAGTGTTCCTACACATTTCAAATTTATCAATGTATCGAAAAAAACATAAATTTTCATGGTGACTCCATCTGTAGAGTAGAAAGGGTGAGTGAAAGCCAACAGCACTTAGGCCACATGTGACCCATTGTACATCCTCCCGAGGAGTTGTCCTCCTAGGTCATCGTCCGTCCTGTCCATTCCAGGAAGGTGGACAGGTCACTGAGAGACATCTCCTTTATATCGGCAGATGTAGGCTAAGACTCGCCGGACATGGTGGCTCCATATTCATAACCATACCACTCAGTTCCTGCAGAAGAGCCAATGATGTCTCGAAAGCTCTAACAGAAAAAGATTTCTCATTTTTCTCGTCTCCGAAGGTCTTTACTTATTACAATGTTGCATAGGAAATTACATATTATTGTTAACTGGTTTTAATAATTGCAGGACTGTATGCTCATTACTTACCATTTCAGATTGAACCAATTGTTGGATCTTCTGGTATCGACTACATGGATGCTGTAGCCACTGGTTATGGTATAGTGAAAGAAACCTCGATATGGGTTCCTCTGGTGGTATGGATGATCAACTGTCTCACTACCTACTTATGTTATGCGTTCGGAAAATTTGCATGTAAAATTCTAATCCAGACTTCTGGTGTTGCTCTTCCAATCAACCTTGCAGTACCTGTTCTCCTAACAGTTCTCGTAGTGGTTTGTGGCGACTACAATAAGGACGAATGCGCCTACGCCGATGTTATTCCACCATATTTGTTCTTCAACGTTCCTGCTTTGAGAAACCTGATTAACTTCGTTACTAATGAGCATCCTTGGATTTGGCTGTTGTGGTTACTGTCCCAAACTTGGATAACAGTCCACATCTGGACCAACTATAACGACAAGTTGACTTCTACTGAAATATTATTTTTGAGACCCATGTATGATGCATTCCTCATAGACCAATCAATTGCATTGAACCGGCGAAGACAAGTACCAGAAGTTAAAATAGTTCAAGAGGACAGTCATGACTTAGCGGGTAAATACTTGTTATATATTTTCTCTAAGTTAGTTCCAGTGTTACTCTCTGAGGAAACTTTTGCCTCTTCATAGAACAAAACGTAAAATTCACTGAGGATTTATTCTTCAGTTATGTCGCTAATACTACTGTAACGTCTACAATTGTTTTCCCATTTCTCCACTTTTGGACATGAAAAATGTTGAGGCTACTACTAGAATACTCCAAAACAAATCTCCTGATTTCGAGTTATCAAGTATAATAATTTTTTTTTAAATTACATGAAACTATTGAATAAACTTCAACTACTCGTTTGTTGAACCATCCTAAAAACAGATTATCACACAGTAGAGAGATGAAATGTTGTTGCAATGTTTCATATATATAT